CGGGGAACTCTGCAAAAAACGCATCTTCGCACGGGCAGCCCGTGCGTTGGCCATTTATTTCTTCTTTTTTTGCTTTTTTGCTTTTTCACACACTTCCTTTTTCTTCCTTATTTTACACTTTATTTTATTATATACTACATCCTACATTCTATTTTAAATTTTAGATGTATTATTCAACATCATTACATTTTACATCTATTATCTATTATCTATCATCCACTATTTTTTACCCTTAGCTAAAATATAATGTTACCACAGTCGTCGTATGACGAGATCCAACTGTGGTAACAGTAAGAAATGTATACGATTTAATGGACCGAAACATTTCTTACCTAATTTAATACTACTTTTTTACATCTTCCATTTTTTTACCTTTTTATCTTTTCTATCACCCTTTCTTACATTTTTCAATAAAATTATCATTCAACCTTAAATAAATGAAAAAAAAACACATAAAAATTAGTGTTTGCTAAGACTGGAACTTTTTGATCTATCAGTCTGTATACGCCTTAGCTCTATACTATAAGCGATTCCTGTCAGTAGAACCGTTGTAGCACTGTTATTATTATTGCTATTGTTATTATAAAATAATAAAGAAAAAAGTTAGCAGTTAATGAGATGAAAGCAAAACGCTAATGCAGGGCAGAGGAGACTGATATCAAATATCTAGCATTATGCGCTTCATTGTCATTATCTCTAGGAACTGTATTGTGATGGACATACAAGGCAAGTTTATAAAAACAAATTTTTAGTTCAGTTTGGTGATCAAGAAACTATGGAGCTACTCAAGGCAGAGCACTTCGATTTCGGCATCACTGAAATATTCAGCCCTTGCGCCTATGCCATTTTCGGCATAATCGATTTGAATAATTATGCTACTGCATTTACAAGTGATTTGTACGAAGTGGTCTCGGATCCACTAGGCGTAAGCAGTAATCCAAGCTGGGTGCCAGGCTAGCAGCAAATCTTGTTCATTTCAGAAGACAGTTCCGCATCCACTGCTAAAATGTTCGATAAATGCACCAGCAGGGGAGCTGAATTGTTTTAGTAAGGACAGAAAAAATTTTTCAGCTGCGTTGGTGCGATATTTAAAGTTCTTTTAGCAAGAATGCGGAGGGGCGGTGTGTCGCGAACGAAGCTCCATTTGCAAATGATAAAGCCCTGGAGGCGGTCAAATCTTTCACCGTCACTGCCTTCGAACCCATCGTGTTGACTATTAAGCTACCAATATGTACTAATTCGAGCCTGTATATATGTGCTAATTCGAGCCTGTAAATGCACATTACTTATATGAGTACATGCGATTATGCTTAGTTGTGCTCCCACAAGCATCGCACACTTTCTGCTTTTTTGTCATCTTTTTGCTCAGCTCCAGCTGCAGAGTTTTCGCGCACCACAAGTTCGTGAAGGATCTCGCTGCGAATTGATTTCTGCCCGTCCTTAAATCACTTGATAGTGATTTACTCGTTTCAGCGATATATAGTGGCAGTGGGGATGTAATGAATTACCGGGAGCGAATACTAAATGTTCTATCATATGCAAAAATGTTCATGGTAAATAATTTCATCATCAGGACAACAAGCCGGGCAGAAGTGAAGAGATTCACGCCGCACCACTTCGACCATCTGGTAAGTCAATGGGCAATTGAGAAACTGTGGACCACTCGGATGAAATAAAGGTTTCTGCAAAATGAGGATTAAAACTAGCCAAAATTCGATGGTTATTATATAGCCGCTGAATTCTCTCAGTGCAATAAAAATTTTAACGTTAAGTTTTCTTTTAAATTACTTGCGAACAAAGCTGGCATCTGGAAAATGCAGGAAGCGGTCCGTAAGAGTACGTTTGCGCTTACCAATTCCGAAGAGCTGCTGGAATTCCCACGCTTGGATAGCCATAAGGTCGTTTTCATTGGAGGCATTGCTGTGAATACACCGAAACCACTGAACAAGGTAAAAAAATTCATTATGCGCTTTCGCACATACGCAAATGCAATTAATAGCAGAGCGCACCATGCGTTTTGTGCAATTCCATCCACCGAACGACTGCCTTTTAATGAGATTCATTGCTTTGCACATTGATCTGTGCAAAAATAAATGAAATGTTGAAAAATAGTTAAAATTTCACACACCGGTGCGTGTAATCTGAACTTGAAACTTCGAAGGGTGAATATTCTTCCAAAACTTCAGCCTCCTAATTTTCTTGCTTTCGAATGATCTTTGATGCAAAACTTTCACGTAGATGAGACCTCGGCACACTTAGGAACCGATTTTGAGTAGCTTCTGCTTAGACGGAGAACATTCTCCTTAAATATTCAGCTTCCTTGCCCTTCTGATCCCCGAGAAAATGATTTTTTTCGCCAAAACTTCCACGCGGACGTTAAAAATTTGCGGAGTTGTACGTGGGCAAGGGATGCCTTGCTAAAATTTCAGTTTCCTAGTTTTTGCAGTTTACGAGACAATTTTCCCGCCGAAACTTCCAGGGGCAGTACTTGGTACCCAAAGATGTGTGAAGGCTGAAACCAAATTTGCGGAAGTTGTACGTTGGTAGGGGCCCTTAAATTTCAGATTCCCAACTTTCGTGGTTCCCCAGACAATAATTGCTCCGCCGAAAATTTCACGGGGCGTAAGTGACACCTAGGCATGCGGGAGGGCAGAATTTAAATCGAGGGCTTGTATTTGGACAGGGCACTACCACAAAATTTCAGCTTCTTGACTTAATAATAATTTCCTCGCCAAAATTCTCACAGGGCTGTAGGTGATACCCGAGGGCGAGGGGACGCTGAATCTGAATTTGCGAGGCGGGGTCATTACTGTAAATTTTCAGCTTTCTGGATTTCGTGGTTCCTGAGATAATAATTTACCCGTCAAAACTGAGATAATAATTTACCCATCAAAACATTTACGGGGCTGTACGTGTTGCCCGCGGTGGGGAAAAGCTGAATTTAAATTTAAATTTAATGGATTACACATGGGCGAGGAACACACCTCCAAATTTTCAGCCCCCTAGTTTTTGTTGCTCTCGAGTTGAAAGTTGTGGACAAGTTGCTGTGGACACACACACACACAGATAATCCCATGACAGTATGCATTTTGTGCAGCTGTTGCACAGCACAAAACGCATAAAAACGCAAACTGTGACGACTCCGGTGTGTGTGTGCGTGTGTGTCTATCCGGGTATTTCAACTTGACAACCAAGCTCCGGCACCGAATTTTTTACCAGTGGATTCCCCGGCCAAGTGCCACCCCAAAGGACCGTGATGCCGACCTTCACGCACTCCTGGGCACCACGTACGGCTACATGAAAGTTTTTGGGGGAAATTGCTAGCTCAGGAACCAGAAAGGCTAGGAGGCTGAAATTTTGAGGATGTTCCTGACCACGCGCAGCTTAAAGATTTTAAGTTCAAATTTAACCGTGTGTGTGAGTGGTTCCCACATATGACCTCGCCAAAGTTTTTGGCGAAAAAATTACTAACTCGGGAATCAGGAAAGCTGGAAAGCTGAGATTTTAGCAAAATGTTTCCTTTCCAAGTATCACGTGGTAGTTGCACAGTTAAGTTCCTAAACATAGAGAACCAGTAGGTCGCTAATTCTAGATTTTGGTATACAAAGTGATCTTATTGCAGCATAAAACAATGCAAAAACGCATGATCGCACGGCCCGCCTTTTGCGTGTCGCCAATGATTTTATGCAATTTTGCAACACTGACGAAATGCAGCGCATATTGTCGAGTGTTTTTCTATATATATGTATATGCATCTGTCTGCTTATATGATTTCTGCTTATCGAAGATTGAAGCTGATATTTTGAGAAGATATAAAACTGATATTTTGGGAACTTAGTCCGCTTCCGTGAATGAATCCTCAAATATGTTTTCTCAGTTCTCTAGTGCAAAAATGCCGAATATATTTTGGTGGAAAAGCCGAAAATTTTTTGGTCTTGCTATCAGCTTATTACAAGCAATGGTCGAAAACCATTAAATGTTTTGTGAAAAGGTGGTTCCTGTTAGCATTTGCTACCACTTAGGTACTTCTCAGCACCTCTTCCCTACGCGGCATTCAATTTTTAATTGTTTGTCTTCGACACATATGATGGAAAAAATGGAAGAACAAAAAGAAAATTTGTTGAGGAGTAAGAAGCATTAAAATCCAAACGTAAATTTGATGGCTGCTCAATAGGTACAAAAGATTTGAGTGCATTCTAGAAGTATCAGAACACAATGAACAAATCGACGAGTGGAGTTGTTCTGGTATCGTTCGGCTCTATTGCAAAAAGCAGTAATATGCCATTACATACACGACAAGCCTTTTACAAAGCTTTCCGCAATTTTCCTGAGGTAAGTGTTTTTGTTGTCGCGTAAACAGGAAGATTTGGCGGTATTTCGGTACCCGGCAGCAGACTGGAAAGATTTTCTATTTTATTTAGTGTGGCTAGACCCTGACGATGCAAAACATCACTATACCTACTAGTGCAGAGCAGTTTTTTAGTTATAAAATATACAAAACAGAAATTTTGCGAACAATACTCCAGATCGCGAATTGAAAGCCTGAAATCAGTTCATGCCTTCTTCAGTGTTCTGCTACTGTGATCTTCTCAGATCCAAGTTCGTGCTTAACTTTAAAATACGAGAAGAATCGAAATTGCGTTTCTAAAATTCTAAGAGCATATTGTATAATGCACTACCATCTAAAATAAGCCAAAACTTCATCTGATAAGTCTGCACGAAAAGTTTGAGAAGCAGCGACCAAAATGGCACCCCAAAATTGTTGAAAAAGTTGTTGCTGATTCTGGGTTGTCATAAGTAAATAGCTGATGGCCTTATAAAATTTCTTTCAGTACTCAGCTGATTTGTATTTTTATGCGTTTTCGCTGTGCAGCTCTATAGCGCTGCTACAGCGAGCAAAAACGCACATTCGGGAGAGGTCGTTTGTGTGTTTAGGGTATGTGTGTGTGTTCGGAAACGAGTAAACTTTGTCACCCATTTTTAACTCAGCAATCAGGAAAGCTGGAAGGTTGAAATGTTGGGGGCATATTCCTATTCCATGTGTCATCCCCTCGTTTTAAAATTTTTGCAGATGCGCGCTCAGACCATGCGTGCCGACTCCTGAAGAAATGTGCAGATTTCTTTGGCTGGAAACGATTTCACGAACCGGGCAAGAAAAAAAGCTGAAATTTTGTAGGGATATTTTCTGTGATTCCAAATTCAGCTGTCAATTACAATTTTGCAGTGCGTACGATCGCGTCAAAGTTCGCACTTTGAGCTGTGCTGACTTGAAAACTATTCAGAAAACAGCGGCAGAAGTTTTGTCAACATATTTATGGCACATACGGGAAATCGTATACCTAAACTGAGTTCCGATTTGCTGCTGCTCCACAACTTAAGGCACTTCAAAGATTTTTGTAGCAAAGTGAATACTTCATTTACCGAATAAGATGCGAGGCTGGAAATTAGCTGAGATATTCTGCTTTCATATGCGGTCCTAATTCTGCTTGGAGGTGGAATTCCCTGCCGGCGGTTATGAGAAATACTCAACTTTACCGCAGACTCAAAAATGAGTGCATTTTGCGTATTTCTTAATCCTCTCCCAGCTTTCATGAAATCTGCATTTTTTAAAGAAGCGGACATTCACCGGAAAACCAACCGGGCATGTAAATAACTGATAAACATATACGTGGAGGTTCATGCGCCCCTGCAACACTTCATCCCAACCGACGCCCTTTTCCCTGCATGCCGAAAAAAGCCAAAGCACGACGAACATGAGTCCAAGTGTTAGGCTGCAGCTCTGGGGTCATTCTTGCTATTAGCAATGCGCATGTTTAGTAAAAAAACGCATGATCGCACCGGCAAGTCCCGGCGCTTTCCAGTTTGGGTCTTTTACTATTTGTTTGTTTCTACGGTGTAAATTCCATTTTCATTTGGCGATGATTTAAGGGAGGCATTTTAAGTCAAAAGAAGTTACTCCTTCTCTTTTATGTGCTTTTGCATTCATCCCTTGCAAAGATCTTATTTTACTTAGCGAGTGGTTGTGTTTGTTCGACTATATATATATAGTGTTTGTTCGACTATATATATATAGTCGAACAAACACTATATATATATAGT